GAACGAATCACGACGGGAGGTTGTTCGCTGTCTTCGGCCTCCGGGGGCCCTTCCCGGGCCTGGGGGCCGTCCAAGAGCTGCTCGAATGATGAGGAACGCGTCCCGGGGGAGAGGGGGCCAGGGGGTCGACGGTTTGCACAAAAATCACGACGTCGGGGGTCTGGAGGAGGAGGGCGGAGGGCCGGTCGAGGCAGCGGCAGTCAAGGCCTTCGGGGGATGGCCCATCCGACCCGTCTGGCCGGGCGCAGCGCGGGTGTGGTTCCCGCACGTGCAAGTCGTTTGCGGCTTAATTCAGGTTCAGCCCCCCCCGTCCATGCAAGCAGCTTTGACAGAGTCTGTAAAACTGCAGGCTCCATTCAGTAGCTGGTGCGCTTGGACCCCGGGAGGGATCCGAGGACCGATTCTGAGCTGCCGTTGTCTCAGCTCGCCCTGCTCCAGGAATGAGCACAGTCATGCTATAGACCACCTTCCGGAGGTCCGCGCGGGGGTCTCTGGGTTGGCGCTGGTTCCCCTGACAACGCGCCCCGCGTGCCAGGGCGGGGGCCCAGCGTCGACCCCAGGAGTCCGCGCGCGGACCTCCGAGAAGGGTCCTGCCCGCGCAGTTGCTCCTCTCCCCCCCTGCAGGAGGAGCTCAAGCGGTGGGAGGCGCACCGGGCGTGCGAGGCCCGGCGTCGTCTGGCCGATCCCCGTCTCCGGTGGGCCATGGAGCCACAGCGTGCCACGGGCCCACCCACACACCACCCGCAGACCCACGCGGGGACAGACGCAGGCCCGGCGAAGCCCGGGGGAACAGGCACACATCCCCATCGGGGGCGGAAAAGAGGGGGGTGATGACTAGGGGGGGGTGGATATCATGGCGGGGGGCATGATATTTCCCCAGATTTCATGGCGCCTCTTCTTATTTCATTACGTCCCTGGCCCCCCCGCTGGGCCGCGCACATGCCGCCGGTCATGATTTGCGCCCCCCCCTCTTAGACACCCCCGTCTTTGCCGCTCCCGACCCCACCCGGGTGGGCAAGTCGGCCAGTGGGGCCAAGACCACGCCAGTCCCAGGCCCCCGACGTCGTGATTTTTTCATGGCGTGACCCCCCGTCCCGGGGACGGGTTTTCCGTTCTGAGTCGATGTTTGACGGTCCCGAGGCTTGGAAGAGCCCCGGGAGCTCGAAAATAAAGAAGAGCTTCCCGTCGTGGGGTAAGGACAGGGACTGGCGAAACGACGCTCAGAGGCTGAGGCGGAGCTCATCCTGCAGATGATGGAAGACGAGGACCAGGAGGGGAACAAACACACACACACACACACACACACACACACACACACACACACACACACACACACACACACACACACACACACACACACACACACACACACACACACACACACACACACACACACACACACACACACACACACACACACACGCACACACACACACACGCACACGCACACGCACACGCACACACACACACACGCACACGCACACGCACACGCACACACACGCACACGCACACGCACACGCACACGCACACGCACACGCACACGCACACGCACACGCACACGCACACGCACACGCACACGCACACGCACACGCACACGCACACGCACACGCACACGCACACGCACACGCACACGCACACGCACAACACACACGCACACGGCACACGAACAGACGCACAGAGAGAGTAGAGACAGAGACAGAGACAGAGACAGAGACAGAGACAGAGACAGAGACAGAGACAGAGACAGAGACAGAGACAGAGACAGAGACAGAGACAGAGACAGAGACAGACAGACACAGACAGACACAGGCAGACACAGACAGAGACACGACAGGAAAGATGGGAAACATGTGGGCAGTAGGGGCGAAGCCTAGAATCCAGAGAAGCTGGGGAACAGTTGGAAATCCTGGGATTTGTGTCTGTTGATCTTGAGAGGACCTCCGCGAGACGGGGCGCGCCCAGGCGCCCGCCGCCGCCGCCCCGGCGGCCGCCCCAGGCGCGCGGCCGCCGCCGCCGCCGCCGCCGGACACGGTGCCCGAGGGCGAGCCCGCCGCCCCCGACAACTACTACGCCGCCCTCGCGGCCGCGGTCGCCGACGCGGAGGTCGGCGGAGGAAAAGACCTGCAGGTCGGGCCTGTCCCTCTACGGGGGGACGATTCGAAAATAGTCAATTACGCTACCGAGGAACCCCACATACTGATTTTTAATCTTATGTGTTTGCTTGTCATTATCATCTATGCGCAATGCTGCGTTCTAAACCCTCGTCGCGAATCGTCGTCGTACTTGTCGTACTCGTTGTCGTACTCGTCGTACTCGTCGTCGTACTCGTTGCCGCTCTATCGTCTTACTCGTCATCGTACTCGTCGTCGTACCTCGCCGTCGTACTCGTCTTCGCATTCGTCGTCGTGCTCGTCGCACTCGTCGTCGCACTCGTCGTCGTCGCACTCGACGTCGTCGTACTCGTTGTGTTGGTAGTGCTCGTTGTATTCGTCGCCGCACTCGTGGTCGTCGTCGTCCTCCTCCTCCTCCTCCTCGTCCTCCTCCTCGTCCCACCCCATCCTGTCAACTCCTCCGCACTCCTCTCAATTGTTGACGCTTCGCGTATCCCCACCAGCCCATCCAGAAACGATGCTCAGGGGAGTTAAGGTGATCAGGGAAGTCGGGGAGCATGCAGAATAACAAAGGGCGGGGGAAGCTGTCACAGACCCCGAGAGGGGGAGGATGGAAGAGGAGTCGTCGTCGTCGTCGTCGGAGGAGGAGGAGGAGGAGGGGGAAGAGGAGGAGGAGGAGGAGGAGGAGGAGGACGGAGAAGGAGGAAGAATCGGAGGAGGAGGAGGAGGAGGGGAAGGAGCTTCTTGGGGGTCTTTTGAGGGCCTCTTGGAGGGCTTTTTGGGCGCCTTGGGGCATCTTGGGCGCCTCTTGGGACCCTCTTGAGGCGCTCTGGGGAGCCTTCGGGGCGCTTTTGGGGCCATCTTGGAGGGAGTCGATCAAACAAGAGGGGGGGTTTAATTAGCGCCCCCCCTCGGAAGCCCCTAAAATCGCCTCTTGGACCCCTCTTGGAACGCTCTTGGAGTGCTCTTGGGCGCTCTTGGGGCCGTCTTGGGGCTCTTTTGGGGCTCTCTTGGGGCCCTCTTGGGCCATCTTGGAGCCATCTCCAGGCCTCGGATAGCCATCGGAAGCGAAAAGGCGAGAAAGCAAAAATCATTGATTTTCCTTAGGTTTTGGGACGATTTTGGCCTCTTCGGGGCCTCCTTGGGGAGCTGTTTGGCCACTTGGAGTTATCTTGGGGCCGTCTTTGGGCTTCTTGGAACCATCTTAGGAGCCATCGTGAGCGATCTTGCGCTATCTTGAGCCATCTTGGAGCTCATCTTGGGTTCTCTGAGGCGCTCTTGGAGCCGTCTTGGGCCATCTTGGACGCTCTAACTACCCGCGGCCCCCCCCGTCCAGGTCCAGGGGAGGGGGTAGGGGGAGGGGTAAACCCCTCCCCAAGGGGGAAGAGGGAGGGGTGGAAGAGGATCTGTTCTAGACCACCTACGCCCAGAGGGCTGGTGGGATTCCTCCGCACTTCCCTCAACTCCTCCGCACTCCTCTCAACTCATCCTCTCATATCCTTCTGTACTCCTCCTTCTGCACTCCTCCGCACTCCTCTCAACTCCTCGGCGCTCCTCTGAACACCTCCGCACTCCTCTCAAATCCTCCTTCTCACAACTCCTCCGCACTCCTCTCAACTCCTCCTCCTCGCAACTCCTGCACGGCCGCGCACGGCACGGCACGGCACGGCGCCGACGAAAGGCATGGCACGGCAGTGATTCCCGACGGCCCCGGGGCTTTGAGCGTGCCTCCAGACACCGAAAGAAGCGAAAAACCTCCTCGAACCTCGAAGTGCGTCGCCGTCGTCGTCGTCGTCGCCGCCAGACATGGTCAGACCTCCGGCGGCGCAGTGCTCCCGCCTGCTATGCCTGGACGACCGGCGCGTATAGCAGCCGCGCTCAGGGACCACCCCCTGCGCACCCCCTACGGTGTCGAGAAAGTGCCACGCCTGCTATGCCTGGACGACCGGCGCGTATAGAGCCGCAGCGAGGACCACCCCCTGCGCACCCCCTATGGTGTCGAGAAAGTGCCACGCCTGCTATGCCTGGACGACCGGCGCGTATAGCAGCCGCGCTCAGGGACCACCCCCTGCGCACCCCCTATGGTGTCGAGAAAGTGCCACGCCTGCTATGCCTGGACGACCGGCGCGTATAGAGACCGCAGCGAGAGACCACCCCCTGCGCACCCCCTATGGTGTCGAGAAAGTGCCACGCCTGCTATGCCTGGACGACCGGCGCGTATAGAGACCGCAGCGAGAGACCACCCCCTGCGCACCCCCTATGGTGTCGAGAAAGTGCCACGCCTGCTATGCCTGGACGACCGGCGCGTATAGAGACCGCAGCGAGAGACCACCCCCTGCGCACCCCTTATGGTGTCGAGAAAGTGCCACGCCTGCTATGCCTGGACGACCGGCGCGTATAGAGACCGCAGCGAGAGACCACCCCCTGCGCACCCCCTTATGGTGTCGAGAAAGTGCCACGCCTGCTATGCCTGGACGACCGGCGCGTATAGAGACCGCAGCGAGAAACCACCCCCTGCGCACCCCCTGTGGTGTCGAGCGTGCCACGCCTATGCCTGCGAAGAGACCACCCCCTGCGCACCCCAGTCGAGCCACGCCTGCTATGCCTGCGCACCCCCTATGGTGTCGCGTATAGAGACCGCAGCGAGAGACCACCCCCTGCGCACCCCCCTATGGTGTCGAGAAAGTGCCACGCCTGCTATGCCTGGACGACCGGCGCGTATATGAGACCAGCGCAGAGAGACCGACGACCGGCGCGTATAGAAGACCACCCCCTGCGCACCCCCTATGGTGTCGAGAAAGTGCCACGCCTGCTATGCCTGGACGACCGGCGCGTATAGCAGCCGCGCGAGAGACCACCCCCTGCGCACCCCCTATGGTGTCGAGAAAGTGCCACGCCTGCTATGCCTGGACGACCGGCGCGTATAGAGACCGCAGCGAGAGACCACCCCCTGCGCACCCCCTATGGTGTCGAGAAAGTGCCACGCCTGCTATGCCTGGACGACCGGCGCGTATAGAGACCGCAGCGAGAGACCACCCCCTGCGCACCCCCTATGGTGTCGAGAAAGTGCCACGCCTGCTATGCCTGGACGACCGGCGCGCATAGAGACCGCAGCGAGAGACCACCCCCTGCGCACCCCCTATGGTGTCGAGAAAGTGCCACGCCTGCTATGCCTGGACGACCGGCGCGTATAGAGACCGCAGCGAGAGACCACCCCCTGCGCACCCCCTATGGTGTCGAGAAAGTGCCACGCCTGCTATGCCAGGACGACTGGGGCCACGCCTGCTATAGCAGGACGACTGGGGCGTATAGAGACCGCAGCGAGAGACCACCCCCTGCGCACCCCCTATGGTGTCGAGAAAGTGCCACGCCTGCTATGCCAGGACTGGTGTCGTCTTGTGTGTGCGAGTGTGTGCATGCGTGCGGCTGTATGTAGACGCGTGTCGCCGAGACGTGCTGTGCTGTGCTCTGCTGAGCTGTGCTGTGCTGTCCTATGCTGTGCTGCGGTCTGCTGTGCTGTGCTGCGCTGTGCTGAGGAGGAGGAGGAGGAGGAGGAGGAGGAGGAGGAGGAGGAGGAGGAGGAGGAGGAGGAGGAGGAGGAGGAGGGGAGGAGGGCGGGTGTGGGGGAGACGCGGGCGCGGCGCGGCAGGGAAGAAAACCAAAACCCCACGAAGCATGTGGGGAAAAACGATAGTCTGGGGACGATTTCTCAACTTTTTTGGGTGATTTGGGGGGTAGTTTTTTGTGTGTTTTTGATTTGTCATCCAAAATCGCATTGTAGGAGGACAGGTCCGACTGAAAGGAAGACCCAGACCTCCTCGCGTTGTGCAAGAAATTAATGACCGGAGGCTTTGCGCCATTTTCGGCCTTTGGGGGGCCTTCCCAGGCCTCGGGGCTGTCAACCAACGACTCAGGATCGGGGCCGACGTTGTAAAAAAACACGACGTCGGGGGTCTGGGGAGGTATAATTACCGATGCCGCTACCCGCTTTCGCACTCCTGTTGGCCTCCTGGGCGGCCCCCGTCGCCACGGCTGGGTCCGCCTTGACATCCCAGCCAGAACGCACCCGGGGAGAGGTCTGGGGAAGAACGGGGGCCCCCAAACGAGGTGGTGACCATGCGGTGTGGTGAGTCGTTGGGGATTCGGGGTCACCGCACGGTTTTGGGACTCGGGTCGTTCTCCGAGGACGCCTCGGGCGACTGGGGCATCCAAGGTTCCAAGACCGTGCGTTGACGGACCTTGCGGTGAGGTCTTGGGGTATTTCGAGGTCACCGCACGGTCTGTCACCGCACCGTTGCGGGACTCCAAGTAAGAGCGGTGCATCGACCCCCGACGTCATGATTTTTTCATGACGTCGACCCCCAGAGGTCTCGACCCCTTCCCCAGGACCGGCTTTTCGTCCCGAGTCGTTTTTTGACGGTCTCGAGGGCCGGTACGGGCCCCCAGAGGCCGAACATCGCAAAAAGCCTTCCGTCATGATTTTTTATTGCCCGAGGGGGTCTGGGCTCCAAGGAAGAGCGGTATCGGTACGCTCTTGTCCCCCCAGGAGGAGGGCGCGGGCTCGGAGGCCCCCGAGGAGGGGGAGCCGCGGCCGCCCAGCCCGGCGGGCGAGCGGGGGGGCAAGCGGCGGAAGCTGGAGGCCGCCCTGGACGAGGAGCGAAGAAGCGCAAGCCCGGGAGGCGCGCGGCGAGGGAGGGGGGGGGGAGTTTCGGGGGTTCGAGCCTCGAGGCGCCAGGTGTTCGGACGCTTTCGTCGGTGCTCGGCGGTCTTCCAGCCTCGGGGTGCTTGCCAGCAGCTGCGCCTCGCCGCGGGCGTTCCCTTCGGGGGCCCGGATCGTCCCGAACGGCCGCTGGAGGCCCGAGTTCTGATTAAGTCGGGCGTGTCTCTCTACAGGAGGCATATTCAAGAATAGTAGAAACATAGTCTGGGGACGATTGTTTGGTTTTGACTGTTTTTGGGTACTTTCTGAGTATTTTCAGTCTTTCGTCCAGTGTCCCCCTGTAGGGGGACAGGCCCGACCTAAAGTTAGGACCCAAGAACCACATTCGGCTGCGCTCCCTGGGGGGGGGGAAATGAGAAGGAGAAGGCCTACTCAGAAGGCGGCGGGACTTTTCATCGGGGGCGGCAAAGAGGGGGTGATGACTAGGGGTGTGTGGATATCATGGCGAGGGCCATGCTGTCGGTCCAGATTCCATGGCGCCTCTTCTTATTTCATTACGTCCCTGGCCCTGGGCCGCGCACATACCGCCGGCCATGATTTGCGCCCCCCCTCTTGGACGCCCCCCCCTCTTGGCCGCCCCCGATCTCAGGAGCCCCCGCGCCTTCTGGGAAGTTTTCTGTGCCCCAGGGGAAGGCTCAGACAACTTTCCAGAAGTCCGGGGGACTCCCGAGCCTTCTTCTCAATGCCCCCCCCCCTGGCTCGCCGCCCATGGGAGGCGCGCGGCGGGCCGATGCCTCCGTGGAGCATCGGCACGGTCCGTCGCCGAGGCGGGTGGCAGGCTGGCCTCGTGCTTCCTCGGCGCTCCCTTCCCTCGGGCGCTCCCAGGCGCCTCCCAGGCGCCTCCCAGGCGCTCCCCAGGCCAGGCGCTTCCCAGGCGCTTCCCAGGCGCCTCCCAGGCGCCTCCCAGGCGCCTCCCAGGCGCCTCCCCGGCCAGACGCTTCCCAGGCGCCTCCCAGGCGCTCCCTGGAAGGCCTTCCCGAGCCGTGGGGCCATGGCGCCCGCGTGCCGGAGCCTCGGATCCGTGCTCCGTGGATGTGGGCGTGCGCCCGAGAGGAGCCCTCCTCGGAGGGCCAGAACCCAGCCCCCCTCGCGCTGTGAACAAAATCACGACGGGAGGCTTTTCGCTACTTCCGGCCTCCAGGGGCCCACATTGGGCCTCGGGACCGTTGCAAAACGACTCAGAATGCACAGAACTGGTCCCTGGGAAGGGATCCAGACTTCTGAGGGTCACGTCTTGAAAAAATCACGTCGGGGCTCTGGGAAGACGGCGCGTCTGGCAGGCAGACCAAACACTCTCTGGGGGGGGGGGAGGATGGGTGGTGGGAGGGGGCTGCTGTGTTCCATCATGTACCCTCCCTGGAGGCCCATCGTCGGCTTCGACGCCACCCCGTGAGAGAGATCATCGCTACCCAGACCCCCGACGTGATTTTTTCAAGACGTGACCCTCAGAAGTCTGGATCCCTCCCCAGGGGCCAGTTTTGCATCTTGAGTCGTTTTGTAACGGTCCCGAGGCCCAATGCTGGCCCCTGGAGGCCGGAAGTAGCGAAACACTTCCCGTCGTGTTTTGTTCGCAGCGCGAGGGGGCTAAGGAGTGCAGCTCCCACAGCCGTGGCTGGCCCGACGCAGGCACACAACTCATACGACCCAAGGGAGGGGTTCGCGGGGAGCTCCCGGGTCGGCGCCGCACTGCCTCCCCCGGATCCCTCCCCCCAGCGCGCGGGGCGCGCCTGAGGCTCGGGCGTCGCGCAGCGGGAGGGCGGTAGATGCGGAGCAGCGAGGGCTGCAGCGCACCTGGACCCCCTCGCGTCGTGAAAAAAAATAACGACGGGAGGCTTTTCGCTATGTCCAAGCTCGGGGGGGCCTTCCCGGGTCTCGGGACCGTCAAACAACGACTCAGGACGAAAAACCAGTCCTGGGGAAGGGGTCCTGACCTTTGGGGGTCGACTTCAGGCAGACATCGCGACGTCGGGGGTCTGGGATGGCAGGGCAGTGAGGGCTGCAGCAACAGGGGCCCGCTGGGGCCCCCAACGGGCCCCTTTCGGGGGCCCCCGAAAAAGAAAAGCCTCCAGGGCTCGAGCAGTGCACCTTCCTCCCCCCCCCCTCCCATTTATCGCCAGCCCTCCAAGGGGCCATGTCAGGGCCCACTATGGCGGCCTCTAGGGCCCCAAAAGTGTACCTTCCCCCCCCCCCCCCCTCCCCATTTATCGCCAGCCCCCGAAGGGGTCCTGTGAGGGCCCAAAGCGGGGGCCTCTAGGGCCCGAGAAGTGTACCTTTCTCCCCCCCCTTTCCCCATTTACCAGGAGGGAAAAAACACAGAGACACACTTCATCGTCGATTCCCCAGACAATGCGGGAGAAGACGGGAAGCGGGGGAGGGGGGGTACGAAAACCGAGAACATCTGGGGAAACAGGGTGAATCCTGTTTTTGTGTGTCTATGTATTCGTGTGTCCCGGGGCCCCATCAAGTGATCGCCCCCCGCTACTACGCGACGCCCAAATCAAGGGCTCGGGGGGGGGGGGAGCGGGCGTCCGGCGCCCGCCCAGGGAGCTCCACGGGGCGCCCTTCGACAGTGCTCTGAAATCGGGCCTGTCCCTCCACAGGATGGATATTGAGAAATGGAAAAAAACTGGGGACGATTGTTGGTTATTTGTTTTGGCAATTTGTTTTCTGTCGTCCAAAATCTGCCTGTAGGGGGACACGCCCGACCTAAAGTTATTCTTCTGATGTGTCCCAGACGTGCGGCGTCCTGTTTTGAACAGCGCCGTGTCCCCGAAAGTCCCGATCACTTCCCAAGGTCCGGGCTTTGCATCCCGAGTCGTTTTGAGCCTGTTTTTTTCCGACTTGGACGGGGGAGCCTGAACCTGAAGTAAGCCGCAGAGGGGCGAGTGGGTAGGGTGGGGGGAGCGAACGCCATGCAAGTATGCCTGAGGCCGAAAACACACACGCTCTTTTTGACGGTCCCGGGGCCCAGCGAGGGCCCCCGGAGGCCGAACGCGGCCAGGAGCCTTCCGTCGCATGGTCTGCGCGACGCGAGCCCACCTGGGACCCTTCCTTGGTGTGCCCGGAGGAGCTGAGGCTGGTGTGAGCAGGAGGCGCGACGGCGCACGGGCGCGGCGCCGTCGGAGCAAAGGACCGCGGCCGCGCCGGTCCTCGAGCGGCGTCCGCGCGA